CCCGGGGGGTTTTCGGGGCGGGTTTTGGGGCGGCTTTGGGGTTTTTGGGGTCAGTGGGTGTCGTTTTTGATGACGATCTCCAGCCCGTGCTGGCGCAGCTGCGCCCGCAGCAGCAGGTTCTTGTTCTTGAGCTCCTCCACCTGCGTTTGGGGGGGTCAGGCACCCCAAAATATCACCCAGAGACCCCAAAATATGAGCCAGGGCACTCCCAGTACAGCCCAGTAACCCCCAGTGCTCCCAGTACAGCCCAGTACCCCAAACCAGCAGGTTCTTGTTCTTGAGCTCCTCCACCTGCGTTTGGGGGGGTCAGGCACCCCAAAATATCACCCAGAGACCCCAAAATATGAGCCAGGACCCCAAAACATCCCCTAGTGCGCTCCCAGTGCTCCCAGTACAGCCCAGTAACCCCCAGTGCTCCCAGCACCCCAAACCAGCAGGTTCTTGTTCTTGAGCTCCTCCACCTGCATTCGGGGGGTCAGGCACCCCAAAATATCCCAAAACATCACCCAGAGACCCCAAAATATCACCCTGCACCCCAAAATATCCCCCAGGGCACTCCCAGTACTCCCAGTACAGCCCAGTAACCCCCAGTACCCCAAACCAGCAGGTTCTTGTTCTTGAGCTCCTCCACCTGTGTTTGGGGGGGTCAGGCACCCCAAAACACCCCAAAACATCCCCCAGAGACCCCAAAACACCCCAAAACATCACCCAGAGACCCCAAAACACCCCAAAACATCACCCAGAGACCCCAAAGTATCACCCAGGACCCCAAAATATCCCCTAGTGCGCTCCCAGTGCTCCCAGTACAGCCCAGTAACCCCCAGTACAGCCCAGTAGCCCAAACCAGCAGGTTCTCGTTCTTCAGCTCCTCCCCTGGATTTTGGGGTGTCCCGAGGAGGTTTGGAGGGTCCAGGCACCCCAAAATATCACCCAGAGACCCCAAAACGTCCCCCAGGACCCCATCCCAGTGCTCCCAGTCCCTCCCAGTGCTCCCAGTCCCTCCCAGTCGCACCTGCTGGCGCAGCACCTCGTTGTCCATCTGCAGCTGCTCCAGCCCCATAGATCCCAATGACCCCAGTCCCATCCCCATTGATCCCAATGACCCCAGTGACCCCAGTGACCCCAATCCCATTCCCATGACCCCAATCCCATCCCCAATGACCCCAATGACCCCAGTGACCCCATTCCCAGTGCTCCCAGTCCCACCTGCTGGCGCAGCACCTCGCTGTCCATCTGCAGCTGCTCCAGGCCCATCCCAGCCCCATCCCAATGACCCCAATCCCATCCCAATGACCCCAATCCCATTCCCAGTGACCCCAATGACCCCAATCCCATTCCCACGACCCCAATGACCCCATTCCCAGTCCCTCCCAGTCGCATCTGCTGGCGCAGCACCTCGTTGTCCATCTGCAGCTGGTCCAGGCCCAGTCCCATTGATCCCAGTGACCCCAATCCCATCCCCAGTGACCCCAATGACCCCAATCCCATTCCCATGACCCCAATCCCATTCCCAGTGACCCCAATCCCATTCCCAGTGCTCCCAGCCGCACCTGCTGGCGCAGCACCTCGTTGTCCATCTGCAGCTGGTCCAGGCCCTGCAGCTCCTCGCTCAGGCGCAGGTTGCTCTGCCGCAGCTCCTGGATGTAGTCGCAGGCCTTGGACAGGATCCCGCCCTTGCTCTGCGGGGCGGGTTCGGGGTCACGGCCAGAGCCAGAGCCCCATCCCAGACCCTGATCCCGATCCCACATCCAGATCCCGATACCAGATCCCAGATCCCAATCCCACATCCCAGATCCTGATCCCGATACCAGATCCAGATCCAGATCCCAATCCCACATCCCACATCCTGTTCCCAAATCCCAGATCCCAGACCCCAGATCCGGATCCCAGATCCCAAATCCCGGTCCCAGATCCCAAATCCCAGACCCCAGATCCTGATCCAGATTCCAGATCCTGATCCCAGATCTGAATCCCAGAATCCCAGATCCAGATCCCAAATCCCAGATCCAAAATCCCACATCCCAAATCCAAAATCCCAGGTCCTAGATTCAGACCGTAAATCCCACATCCCAGATCCCAAATCCCAGATCCCACATCCCAAATCCCAGACCCCAGACTCCAAATCCCAGATCCCAAATCCCAGACCCCAAATCCCGGACCCCAGACCCCAAATCCCAACCCCAGATCCAGACCCTAAATCCCACATCCCAAATCCCAGATCCCAGATCCAGATCCTACATCCCAAATCCCACATCCCAGACCCCAGATCCCAAACCCAAGATCCCACATCCCAGACCCCAGACCCCAAATCCCAGACCCCAAATCCCAGATCCCACATCCCAGACCCCAGACCCCCAATCCCAGACCCCAGACCCCAAACCCAACCCCAGATCCGTGGGAGGGGGCTGGGACCTGGCCGGATTTGGTGTTCTCCATGGAGCAGTCGGGGATGATCTTGGACAGCTGCACGATCCAGTTGTTGATCTTGTCCCGGCGCCGGCGCTCCACTGCAACGGGAACGGGACGGGATCGGGAACGGGATTGGGAATGGGGATGGGATTGGGGGACGGGATTGGGGAACGGGAACGGGGATGGGAATGGGAACGGGATTGGGAATGGGGATGGGATTGGGAACAGGGATGGGAAAGGGAACGGGAATGGGATCGGGAACGGGATTGGGAACGGGGACGGGATTGGGGAACGGGAACGGGATTGGGGAACGGGAACGGGATTGGGGAACGGGGACGGGATTGGGGACGGGAATGGGATTGGGAACGGGATTGGGGAACGGGAACGGGGAACGGGATTGGGAACGGGGATGGGATGGGATTGGGGACGGGAATGGGGAATGGGAACGGGAACGGGATTGGGAATGGGAACAGGAATGGGAAAGGGAACGGGAACGGGATTGGGGACGGGAATGGAAATGGGATGGGGATTGGGATTGGGAATGGGATTGGGAACGGGAATGGGAACGGGGATGGGGATGGGAACGGGATTGGGAATGGGGATGGGAACGGGATCGGGAACGGGAATGGGAATGGGGATGGGATGGCATTGGGAACGGGAATGGGGATAGGAACAGGAACGGGAACGGAACGGGAATGGGAATGGGAATGGGGTGGGAATGGGAAAGGGAATGGGAACAGGGATGGGAATGGGGAATAGGAATGGGATTGGGAATGGGAACAGGAATGGGATTCCCAATGGGAATAGGAACAGGAATGGGGCCACTGGGAATTCGAATGGGGATGGGAATGGGATTGGGAATGGGGTGGGAACAGAATGGGAACGGGATTGGGAATGGGAAAGGGAATGGGAACGGGAATGGGACGGGAATGGGGATGGGAATGGAACAGGAATGGGATTCCCAAAGGGAACGGGAATGGGAACAGGGAATGGGATTGGGAATGGGAACGGGAATGGGAACAGGAATGGGGCCACTGGGAATTCGGGTGGCCCGTGGGAACTGGGGTGGTCCCATGATGACCCTTGGGATTGGGATGAGCCTTTGGGATTGGGATGGCCCCTCAGGAATGGGGGTGTCCCTCAGGATCGGGGTGTCCCTCAGGATCAGGGTGTCCCTTTGGGATCAGGGTGTCCCTTTGGGGTCGGGGTGTCCCTTTGGGATCGGGGTGTCCCTTTGGGATAGGGGTGTCCCTTTGGGGTCGGGGTGTCCCTCAGGGGACTGTCCCGGTACCTTCGTTGTGCTGTGCCCGGCGCTTCTCGTCCCGCGTGGCTCGGGGAGCCTCCGACTTCCTGGGGAGGGGCACAGGTGGGCACAGGTGTGCCCCAGGTGTGTCCAGGTGTATCCCAGGTGTGGCCCAGGTGTGTCTGGGTGTAGCCCCAGATGTATCCTGGGTGTGCCCCAGGTGTGCCCAGTGTATCCCAGGTGTGTCCAGGTGTGTCTGGGTGTGTCCAGGTGTGTCTGGGTGTGTCCAGGTGTATCCCAGGTGTGTCTGGGTGTGTCCCAGGTGTGCCCAGGTGTGCCTGGCTATGTCCCACTGTGCCCCAGGTGTGACATGGGTGTGTCTGAGCGTGTCTCAGCATGACCTGAGTGTGCCCCAGGTGTGCCAGGTGTGTCTGGGTGTATCCCAGGTGTGCCCCGGTGTGTTTGGGTGTGCCCCAGGTGTGTCTGGGTGTATCCCAGGTGTATCCCAGGTGTGCCCAGGTGTATCCCAGGTGTATCCCAGGTGTGCCCAGGTGTGCCCAGGTACTCACGGGGAGTAGGGGTGTGCGCGGGGGGCGATGGAGCGCTGGGCCCCCCCCGGGAGCACCTCCTGTGGTGACATCATCACGAAAAACTGCCCTGGAGCCCAGAGCCACAACCCACTCCAGGTGCCCCCAAACCCACCCCAGGTGCCCCCAGACCCACCCCAGGTGCCCCCAAACCCATCCAGGTGCCCCCAAACCCATCCAGGTGCCCCCAGACCCATCCAGGTGCCCCCAGCTCGGCCCAGGTGCCCCGCTGGGTTCGGGGCTCACCTGTGGGCGTGGGCTGGCCCAGCAGCGCCTCGGAGCTCTGTGTGGTGACCACGGCGGTGGCCGCGGTGGCCGCGGTGGCGGCGGCGCCGTCGGCCACGCCCGCCGCAGGGAAGTAGGTGTAGTGCGTCTCGCTGGGAGCCGCCTCCGTCTCCACCGCGTCCTCGCTCGTGAACGCGCCCTGGATCACCGCCTGGGGACGGGGACGGGGATGGGGACAGGGACAGGGAGAGGGGATGGGGACAGGAGAGGGATGGGGACAGGGACA